AATGTTCAATTCTCTTTCAAGAACAAAATATATCGCTAGAAGGATGGTATAGCTATGGGCCCACCACGTGGCCCATTGCTTGCACATTTCTTCATGGCAAAACTCGAAAACACATGCCTAAAGAAAATGACCGATACCTTCGAAATCTACAAGAGATACGTCGACGACACTTTCAATGTCGTCAACAATGAATAAAATCTAGATGACATCCTGAAGTCGTTTAACAACTGGCACCCCGCGATTCAGTTCACGCTGGAGAAAGAGTCCAACTCCAAAATATCCTTTCTTGACGTCCAACTAACAAGACGAGAACAGGATGGAACACTGAAAAGATCTATCTACAGAAAATCAACATGGAACGAACAGCTTATTAACTTTCACAGTTGGGTACCCCTATACACCAAACGAAACCTGATCCGTTCACTCAGCTACAGAGTTTGCAGAATTTGTACCCCGGACACCGTAGAAGATGAACTGGACAATCTCAAGAGAGCCCTCGTCGAGAATTGTTTTTCTTTTTCTTTTTTATTTGCAGCTTGATTCCACACTGTATTTTTGGTACAAGTGTGGAATTTTCAGCATGGATATCGGTAGCCCAAATTTTGAAGGCCGACCGTAGATATCAGGTGTGCGCCGGCGTGGGCTCGAACCCCGGACCATGTGCACGGTCGGCGAGAGTCCTAACCACTGTGCCACCGACGCCCAGATTATTGCAAAATCTATGAATCTTAGACCATAAAAGCCGCCTATGCTTAGCGACCCCAAAAAACTACTCTACATAAACCCTCAATTCAATGGAGATATATCTGCGGAAACACTACAAAATCGACTGTCGTGCTCACTCAAGAAGACCTTCTTCGCAGCTGAACTACGACTAACTTTCTCCACAAAACCTATGATTCATGTGAACGTGAAGGATAAGCTACCACTGCTGGCCTCATCAATGTGTATTTATCAATTTACCTGCTCCTGTGGTGCCAGGTATGTCGGCCGTACCCAGTGTTCGCTTTCCAAGCGCATCACCGAACACTTACCAACATGGTTTCACAAAGGAGAAAAACGATGTCCCCGCAGGTTCATCTTAGAAAATCTGATAGAATCCGGATACCCAGTTAGACCGCAAACAAACTTCAAAGTCGTCTACAGAGTAAGAAGTAGTCTTCCTAAAGGTGTACAAATTAGATTTCTTCAAACTGCAGAAGCAATAGCTATTCCCTTGCTAAATCCTGAACTCTGCATAGAGAAGAAGTTCGTTCAATTACTACACTTGCAATGGACGTAATCTATCTTATTGCCCGACAAGTAAATCCTACCTAATCTTTTTTTGTCTGAGTCTTCATTAATATTATTTTGTCTTCTCAATTGTAATATTTTGCATTTCAAATTTCTTGTTCTCTACCCCCACCCGATTTAATTTTTACACCTCACTACCACTGTTACTGACTCGACCAACGCTCAATTTCTAGTCATTTATGTTACGTCATCCAACTTAATTGCTCAATTTCAGTTCTAATTTAAATGGCATTATTATCTACCCCACTTCTACTTAGTCTGTACCTCTGTTGCTACCCTGACCTAAGTTGAAACATTTTAGTCACTTATATTACGTCATCAACTTACTAACTCAATCTTACTTTAGTTGCTGTTCACTTAACCTTTTTTCTATATTAGATCATTCTTTTATTATCTGATCAATTATCTAAACTTGACAAACCTCATGTACACACACAAACACAAATAATTATATATAAATGCGATTGTACAGCTATGTGAATGAATTCACCGAAAAGAGTCTCTTCGCTGAACGTCTTCTCCTTTTCATATGACTCAATGGGGATTTCCAAGCTACTAATTGGAATAATTTGGTGATGATATAAAAGAATATTATTCATGAATAATTGCTACATTGCATCGTATTTATGCAAGCTCAGATGTTCGCTTATATTATTCCGTTCCTTATTGGTTTACATACATCTGTCAACTTCCCTAGATTTTGAAGCCCTGTTCTTGTTGCTCATTAAAATAATCATAACAAAAATATGTGCGAATAGAAAGAAATCTAACTTATTTCAACCTGAAATTCAAATATTTGTGAACCAAACTTAAATTAGAATTTCCTACAATAAAACATATACCGCACAGTGATTTATCTACTTTCGCAGATAATTTTTACAGTTACAACAACATCAGGGTAGTTAGATGTGTTTGAATATTCTAATAAATGTAGTGTTCCCGGTTAATACTACTTTTACTGAAGTTAGTGCAAACCATTACAATAAGACTGGGTCATATGTGGAGGAATGATGTCTTTAGTAAGTTTCTTAAATACATGACAAAGAATTCTTATTAAGAAAGAAGAAGAGGGTGACGCTTATGAAGGGTCGTGAAGCCAGCTGAAATTGATGACAGAAAACCGAGTGTAGTCGAGGTTTGCCACCTAATCTGATTGTTCCCTTAAGGACTCAAAGGATAAACAGTAGTAATAATCTGAATATCAACTCACTGTTTATCGGTAAACCTTTAGAGGATTCCTTGGAACGCTAGTGTAACGGCAAAAGCCAAGATTGGACAACAGATTGTTGATTGAGAAAATCAAGTGATACTTATAGATTTTTATGTGCATTATTGTCAGTGAAGAAGAAACGTCTTCTGATTGGTTGTTTTCTCTCTGAAGATTATCAGGTATTGCTTCGTGACCATTTCTCAGAAAGTTAAGCCATATATCTGCGAATCCCATTTGCACACGTTAAGTCTGCTGTGATTGGTTGGTAATTTTCTCAAGATTAAGCTTTGCTGCTGTTTTTCTTAAGACCCCGATTTGGAACGTAACATTGACGTAAGCTGTTGTTTACAATTTTGGCTTGTTCACGGCCAGCTGTTACCACATATCTGCCTAATCTATTCGTGTAATGTATCCATGTACAGCTATTCGAAGGGAAAATTCCGTGACGCAAATGACCTTCCACAGGACGTGGTACACGAAATAGGTACAATATCAGCCAAACCCAGTCAGAATTAGCTGGAAGGAGAGGTGGTTGGCTGACATTCCAGTTCAGAGGGAAAAATTTGAATAACTGAAGATGGTAATGTCTGCAATGACGGCTGATTGAAAGTGACTTCCCTTTTCCTTACCATGCCGTGATAGCAGAAATAATTGAAGAGGGTGAGAGAGCAAAACTGACAGCATGTTGCACGGAGTTGATACCGGTACGACCACTAGCTTCCTTCATTCGCATAATACAGTCTTGCGGTTCTCACGACCTCCGTACAGATAAAATGAGCTCATAAGATAAGCAAACTTCCTGCGTATCCCATTTAACCCTAAGTAGGCATGTTAACAAATGATACATTAACCGGTAATTGATTTATCATTGTTTATCATTTATAAAACAAAGCATAATTGAGCAAAGAATATCCTTTTCGATAATTTCCTCTTCTAACTCTAAAATTATATATATATATATATATATTTATATACATAGAATATCCTAGAACAGTAGTCAATTACAATATTACTGCTTTTTAATAATATCGACTTGTAAAGTAAGATCAATGGAGTTACAGTTCATTAAAGATGCTTACATTATAATAATAAAGATATATTAGCAACTAGAATACCAAATATAATTAGAAAAATCCCCCAAAAATTAAGGATCATTTTTTGACACGTGGTTGTTCTACGTCGTGACCTGACAAAAGTTAAAATTGAGATTCATTGGATTCCGATTTACTGATGAAGTGGCAGTATGCTTGTGGTCAAAGTACCCAATTATAAGGTCGACACGTGAGGAGATATCAGTAGATACTAATAAATGGTCACTAATGAGAGGAAAACTTGCCTTAGCCTGTTTCGGTTAATATCGGTTCGCAAAGCAGTCCATCATGAAGTCTATTAAATCCCTATATAGTTGAACAAGTCATAGTTTAATGGACTATTTCAGGTGGTCTTTTTATAGGCCAACCATAATGTAAGCGGTTGATGGTTAAATGTTAGAGGAAAATCCTCATGGAAGAGTTTTAAACCGTCATGAAATCAATATGTTCTTTTTAACTTTGTTCATAAATTTCTTGAAAGGTGTGATAAATTTGACTTCCTAACAGCCTATACTGATGCTTATTTAAAGAAATGCACACTTTACGCGTGTCAATTTACTAGTCTGCGGAAACCAGAATATTAAAACAAAATTGAACATTGTTATCGGCGTAAATCTTCTTGGAGAACGAAAACTACTGTTAAGTTTAACTGGTTATTCGGACTAAAATTAAATGACTAGTTATAATTCGTATGATTTGCAAACGTCTGTTACTTACTCTTTATTAGGGTAATTTGAGTTAATAATAAATACAGATCAAAGGACATGTAACTGTGCAGTTGTCTGCTATGACATATTAAGAGTGTGAAACATGATTACTGAAAGTAGATAATACAGAAAAAAGCTACAGGTTTATGACTGGATGTTACACTATACCACTGCGCACGTTAAGTGAAGTCACATGGTGGGGTAATATTGTATTTTTCCGAATGAGGTCTTCGAGATACTAAAAGGAAGTGACTCTAGAATCTTGATGATGTGACTGAAAATCTTCCACACTAACACAGTTGCATTCATTCTCTATTATTTCAGGACTTAGAATATTTTTACTGATCACTGCTCAGTTTGTGTCCTTCTTCCCATTGCTTTTCTTTTGTTTTGTGTGTACCGTTTCCATATATGTGAACTGAAGTAAACCGACCTATATGCCAATATCGTTAGTTTATTCGTTATAGTTCATTTATGAGATACTGAAGCGTTCACATACCTAGTTTTAAATTAGATGCAATGAACATTGCATGATAATATAACATCTGTTATGTGTTGGTATTAGTTGACAAAATAAAGTTGTGTAAACAAATTTTGCTTACCAAGTTACTCTCAATTTCCTAAAAGTAAATACACCGAATTAGATACTTTTGTGTAAATGTTTAGTCCTCTTTCACTAAAATACGAAAATAGATATAGGCAGTTTTTTATTGGCTGTTGGCTAGCTGGCTTTTTATTGGTCTAAAATATAAATTAAAGCGCCAATCTCTTTATTTTTACACGGAAATTTACAGTCAGTAAAATTTCGGGCTTACCTTACCATAATATAATGGCGTGTTAATTTTTTTGGTGTGAGTGTAGTGTGACAGTCACACGCTATTTGGATGCATTGTTGATGTTTAAAGTATATTGAGATGTATGAGAATGTCCAGAAAGTGAATATAAATCAACAATAATTTTGATGCATTTATTTTAAGTCCAAAATAGGATGTATGCCATTTTGGTTACTAGGCGAATATAATTCAACCACCATTTCTATAAATTTAATGTGTCCTGAATTATTACATGTAGAAATATGTATGTAGTAACTAATCTACTTTTTTAAGTTGTCACTTCAATGATTTGTGGGAATTGTGCGTACTACGTCAGCATAAATGAAGTAAATTGACAAGGTCATGGCCAGTGGTATATAAGCACTGAAATATATACTAGTGTTTATTTACTTGAAGTCATAGTGTTGTGCACGTTAGGAATTGTTAAAACGATTAAATGATGTTGCAAAGTACTCCTACTGCGTCTACTTCAAGAAATATATCATCTTTATTGTGTGATGTAACAGCTATATTCCAAAGGATAATGTTGTGTTGTATATTTTATACATGGACACAATTTAAGGAAGCTTTAGACACATTTATGAAGGTACTAACTAAGTTGTTCTTTATTTCTTTGAAAGGAATCCAATACATCCTATCGTGTTGATTCAAGTAAAAAAGATCGACCCGGTGCTGATGACTACAAGTTTGTTAAGTTTAAATGCACTTTTGGAAGTCATCGTGCTCCCCGAGGTGCTGGCTTTAGGAACAGAGGGTAAGTTGGCTGCGTGTGCAAATTTTAAAAATTTTAAGGTTCAAAAGTACATCATGTCAGTCAATAATTCTAGTCCAGCGGAAATCCAACGTATACATGATAACCAAGTACAAAACTGTGCATAACCATCCCTGCACAGCAAGTTTTATGTCCACCGATGTATCTAGACGTCGGTTATCATCACAAGAAATGGCAATTATCCAACCGTTCATTGAAAGGAATACTGATGTCCATGAAATCATGGATCTAGCACATGAGAAGTTCGGAAAAGCGCTCCTGTATAACGATATTAAAAACATGCGGGCTAAGATAAATAAACGTAAGTCCTATCAAAATAAATGGTGCAGTAGAATAGAAATTGGTTGTTTGGAAGAGCTGCTTCATCGACTGAGGCAGACAGGTCCAGTTAAAGTTTTGCAGGACAACGCAGGCTTTGTATCTAAAATCATTTTTGCTCGTAATGATATGATAGACGTGTATCATAAGTTTCCAGAAGTAGTTGGAATCGATTGTACTTACAAAACGAATAAGATGGGGTAAGTTTCAGTACAACAAGGTATAATTCCTTTTCCAAATTTGTTACAGATGGCCTTTATATCAGTTTGTTGTGACTGATGGATTCGGAAGAGGAAGGACTGTTTTGTTTGCTCTTACTAGGAGAGAAACGTTTGCAGATATCAAGGAGATATTGCAAACGTTTAAGAGATTTATGGTGGATACATCGAAAACATTAACATTCACTGTCGACTGTGCAACTGCACAGATGAAAGCCCTAAAGGAGGAATTCCCTAGTTGCAATATTGTTTTGTGTCTTTTCCATGTATGCCAGGCATTCAGAAGGAAGGTAAGTTACATTCCCATTAACTGACATAGGGAAAACAGTTCCCAAACCAGCTTGTTAAAAAGTGGTTGTATCGAATGGCGCACACGCGCAGTTATGACAGGTAGGTTAGCAAATCAGAGTATATTGCCAAAGGTTTTGGCGTTACCTAAACCTCATAAGTATTGTAGACGCTGAGGCTGGTGCTTACATTAGAAGGTACTGGCTAAGAACACGCAAATATTGGGCTGCATCGTGCAACAGGTTCACCATCAGCATGGGGAACAATACTAACAACAGAGTTGAGAATGCTCATAGGCAGTTGAAAAGATATCTACGTAAAGGTGATCCTATGGAACTGACGCTATGGAAAATATGGAGGTGGATCGACCACACAACCATGCGTAAAATACGTCAGGGCCAGTGGATGCTTGCTAAATACTACAATTACGATGTAAGTTCGAAGATAATTTACGATTTATCCTAGGTACCTAATTCCCTGAAGTCTCATTTACGGAGTCTCACACCGTTTGCTGCCCAGAAAGTTGTGTTAGATTTACAAAGGCGTTCCTTCTTCTTCCATTCAATATCTTCTACCTCAGTTGTTTACGCAGAAGGTGGTCACATATTCTTCGTAAACAGGAACGAGGCGAAATGCACATGTTGGACATACTGCGCATACAATTTGCCTTGTGCACATGTCGTTGAGGCGTTCTTGAACTCATATCTAAATTGTGGTATGTTCCATTTCTTTAAATGTTACTCTTAGATATTCTGAGGAATAGTGAGAGGTGGACACGTGTATATAACACAACGGACAACATTCCGAGGGCCATCCGGTTAATACCGGAACCAAACAACGCGTTTCGAAATGCTTATGAACGTTTAAGATATCGTCTCAACAGTCTGAACCGAAGAAATCCGGATGCTGCACTGCGGGAAATAGCGGAGTTTACCAGAAGGTTGGACAGTTTGCTAGCAAATGAACCGCAAACAACTTTAAGATTACGACGTGCCCCTGTTAATCGATTATTTTTGTGAAAATATTTGTATTACCTTTTTATTTCCATTTGTATTCAGAATATAAACATGTATGTATAAACTGCAGTTACACTTCCTTTCCTTTCAAAAGGCTAAGACCGACAGTTTAAAGAATACTTTGGTTGATTGTTTCGTTAAGAGAGCGCTTTGAAAGTCACTTAGAAATTAAAACGATCTGTGCCTTATTTACTACGTTTTTCAGCCGAGCATTTGCGGTTCATAGCATATCCTGAATAACGGTGATTAATACGATTTATCACTTAGACCGCAACACCACCAAGCCTACTATATTCATAAACTTATTCTAACCTATTCATCGATAAGGCCTTTTTATGGTAACTGAAGCTCTTATTTACCCACCATTTTCTCAAATAACGCTGGTCATGCTTACAATGATACCTAGGTGCTGAATTGAGTCTTTTAGTTCTGAAATAACGCTAGTTCGAAACTAATTTGTCCTGTGAGGGATGGAACAGAGCGGATAAGCAAACCCAGTCGGTTCCATTTACTTTCAATCATGATAAGAAACCAGCTCTTAGTTTTAATCTCAAACAATAGCAGAACGGTTAGGCAGTTTACTTATTGAATAAGGTTAATATATTAGAAAAGTATACCTTATTTGGCTGAATCATTGCAGGTTCACCATAACCCTTGACTACCAACATAAAAACTGGGAACTTTAGGCTAAAAATCACCTTAATAGTAGTATCCAGTGACATAAACTGATCTACACACTGCAAAATGGGAAAAACATGCAAAAAAACCTTTAAAATTCAATGGAAATCGAATTCACGAAAACATATAACCAGCCGACGCAGGAACTCATCATGACCTTGAAACTGACTGTAGCCTCTTTCCTAAAATACCACTTCAGGTGAAAATGCTATGTGCTTCTGCAATCGCCTTCGTCACTACTGCGAAATCTGTCAAATGCCAGAAACATTTCATCTAGACAGTCTAGAACATTTCTGACAGAGTAATATTGATCTGTTGACAAGATATTTTATGATACACAATCATTATTGTAAACGTACCTGAACATATAGTGGTCGTTCTGATGCAAGGTAGTTATATGGTCCCAAAAACACATTTCATTATTACATTTAACAAGAAGAAAGAAAATAGTACACACAGCTGTGAGAATTAATTCAGCCGAAATAACCTATTACTATAAATATTTACTAAAATGACTTAATAATTTGGTCATAATATCTTCAACATTCTCTACTCTAATGCCACTGCTTATTTCATTCATACAGCATAAAGACACTAGTTGGTGGACAACAGACCTAATTCCTTGTACATAAGAAAGTATCTCCCATTAAAATACCTTCTATTGTGAATTGTTGCTACGTTTCACCCCTCGAGTTGGTGATCTTTTGTGTCATTGGTTCATTTATTTATTAATGAATGCTCTATGAAGAGAAAATGAATCAGCTTGCTAAACAGTTTAACATAAAATACGATCTTTTAATCTTATAGCGAGCAAACCATGAGAATTTCAGCAAAAGAATCACTGACTGGTAGAAAATATCATGTTTTCGACTTATGTAAACCAAGTTTTTAATACACTTCTTCAGCTAAGTGACTTGGTATCATATTAAACTGGTTTTCGCTTTGATTAACGGAACGATTCGAAAAATATCATTGTGTGTAAGCTATTGAAATATAATTATACTTTATTTGATCTATTCCACAATTCTCAAACGTTTTACCGACATTGATTCAGACAAATTTTGATATTTTCTGGTGGACATCTCCAAAATGTACTCGAAATTTTCTTGCGCTTAAAATCCTTTTTACATATGGCTGAGTATCGCGAGGTTGGTACATACACCTATTAGTAAACTGCTTGAATCTCTTAAGGGACCATTGTATCTTTGTAACTGTTGTCAAGGGATAATATGCGTGAGACTTCGTTCTTGTGCTTTATATCTGTAAAGTTCAAGTATATTTGTATGTGTAAGTAGGTAGTCAAGTGCCTTGAGATCGAGTGTGACCTTTATATTAACATATGAAGACACTTTATTTTGAAACAACCAATTGTTGATGAATAGTGAAAAGGTGCTGCTGGGACAGTTAGATCAATTTAACAATTTCAAAAAGATTAAAACGGTTTTTGTACAGTTTTATTAAGGGACACTAAATATTATAAATAGCAAAAATATCTGAGTATTTATATGTTAATTCATTCAGTGTTTAGAAATTATTAACATCATTGAACAGCAATCAGTAGCCGGACTGCGATTGCTTAAATCTCTTCATACTCCGAAAGTAAGTTCACACGCCATAATTTTCGCTTACACAAATTTTTCATAATGAATGTCTTGCAGGAGTGCCAGGTCCCATAAAGTGGAATCGAAGAATTTTCATTACATGAAGACATCCAGGTTTTTATAAGTGAAATAATTAATGAATGCAATAGTTGGCACATATGTGTTACTTTCATCATTTCCATTCACTTGGGAGGTTATGTAAGCTAGGAATTCTAAAATTCTGGTTAACGTTTACTTTGATGATTTAAATGGTATCCAGTAGTGAAACGTAAACGAAAAATGTCTAATATTGTTTGTTTATGGTCACTGGGAAATCAAATTTCTGATAATAACTACAGTAAGCAGTTATCTGACTAAGTAAAATAGGCAGTAATGGCCGTCAGATAAGAGGCAAACCATATCACTTTGTTCAACTTGTCAACTTTAAGTATATATGCGTGCATCTTATGAAGTAATTAAGTTAATACATAGGCTACTCAAAAAGCAGCATGTAGTAGTAAGTAGTAATAGAAATAATTTCTAATAAATATTTAAACCGAAGTGGACATTCAGGCAAGGGTATCATAGGATTCCTAAGCATCGTCTATTATGACTGTGCAAGGAAAATATTACACAATTCTTGGTCAACGACTGATATTAATTAGGACACAAATAAGTTTTCGGCGTAGATTATGAATATGTTAAATACACACCAGCGATAAATATGGCTACTAGCTAAAGCTGTTCACCACACCAGTTGCACATCAACAGCTTTACTATTTCGTCTTTTGGACAATCTACATTCTTCTCCTAGATATTGTATGAAATCACAGCACTCTAATTTAGTATTTAAAAAAAAATTCAATCTTCTTACGTTTATGAATTTTAACTGATTAAAAATGCCCATTAAAATTTTCAAAAGAATGGATACGGAACAAAGAATACCCTTTTCGATAACTTCATCATCAGGCTTTACAGTTATATACACATTATATTGTATGAATGAATTAGTGTTGTGAACAACATTAATGTTTAAATAACATCGAATCAATAGTACTGATATATTACAGTACAATAGCATCAACATAAAATAAGCTGAATGTCAGTAAAATTAGGAAAGATAATATTACAAATTCATAAATTGATAGTCTCTACTGAGGGCCAGGGAAGTAGTAAGGGCTGAACTTGCTTTTTTTGAACACGGAGCACTGGTTGTTTTAGGTGAATCGCAAAAGCCTCTGCTGTTTTCAGCACGCGGTGCTTCGATGATTTTGGCAATTTATTAGGCGCCCGGTAGATGAATGAGAAGGATTCTTCCACGCTGGCCTTGTGGCAGGTTTACACCAGATGGCCCAATATCGAACTGTTAATGGTTTTCACTACACCTTACTTAACTTACTTTACTTAACTTTATCATCCGATTTTCCAAAATAGGGATCTCACTTGCTTTCTTAGTATGTCGAATAGCGCTCTGTGTGCTCATTTTCAAATAACGTCAGATCAGAAAAACGGAATTTTTTCAAAGAAGGCAAACTCATTTCAAATTATCTTCAAGCGATTTGCAGCAAAGAGAGATAATAGTTATTCAATTAATAAAGATCAAAGAGCAGCGTATTTCACTTTCATTATAGTCTGAGGATGTTGTGGTTAAGTTCATTATTATATAGTTTGGTAGCAAGTGTTTTAGTGCTGAAATACTGGATGGGATTCCAGTGACCCTTATATTATAAATTCTGTGTCAGGCAACGATCAAGTCCTACTAAATCCGACATTACTTAATGTTTGGAGTGGGCGAGAATTCAGAGAATTTCATACATTTCGATAGAGAATGAAAGACCAGGTTTGCAGTATAAAATGATGTCATTCTATTTCACAGGTTCTCGTCAGCTGCAAACTACTTGAAATTACAATGGTTAGAAATAATAACATTTTATACTTCATTGTTTGAAAGGTAATAGAGAAAACATTATAAAGTGAACGCCTCTGGAATATAAGTATTACAATTTATAGTTTAAGTTA